TGCCCCCTCCAGAACCTCCCTGCCCCTTCTCCGACCCCCTGGCCCCCTTGTTGTTGGCCTTTCTTCACCTAATGTCTCCGTGAGCTTGCTCAGGAACTGCCTGAGCTGCTTGTCAGACGCTGGGCAACAGTGGGGGAGGAGCTCCAGACTCCCGGAGCCGATCTGCCATGCAGGGAGGGAGGGAGGGAGGAGGAGGACGTGCTCTCTCTGGCTGAGTGTCGGAGCCCCATGTAAGTAACACCGTCGGCGGCAGCACTGTTAACCCTGCGCGCTCTGCATCAGGGGGAAGTCCGGACATTTACAAATTCCCCCCGGACGCTATTTTTAGCTTAAAAAGCCGGACATGTCCGGGGGAATCCGGACGAATGGTAACCCTACTACATGCATTCTTCCTGTTACTTGTCTCATGCAGAGGCAGCTGTAGCATGGGTTCAGTTGCACCCACAGAAATCAGGCCCAGATTATCCAGTGTGCACTACCAGTGCACTTACACAGGACCCGTCTCAGGTTTGGTCTGCTGCCTTTCCATCATGAGAATGTGGGGAGTGACTTGCCGGTCCCAACTGGGCCCTGATCCCATTGTTGCTGCTGCTGGCATCACGACACCCAGCCGAGGCAATCCACTGAGCCAATAGCCCAGAGGTAAGAGTGGGGCTTGGGACACCATTCCCACCAACAGCACTGCTGGAGCTCAGGAAAAAGCAGGGCTGAAAGTGGCTCCCGGCCACATACAGGGCAGAGCGCCCCCCATCCCCATGGGGAGTGCTGTGACCCCCTTGCTCCACAGGGAGGGCAGCAACTCCACAGATTAGACGAATTTTAGTATAATGCACCCATTGAATGGGGGTGGGGCTACATCCTCCTCTCATCTCATGTATTGATATTCACTACAGGGGCTTTTGATCTAATGTTAAGTCTTTGATCCTACAACTGACATTATGCAAGTGAACGCCTGCACCTGCATGGAGTCCCCAGTGATGGCAGTGGAGCTCAGTGCAGGTATGGGGGTCTGCTGCAGGAATCAGTGGCAGGATTGAGGCCTAAGATTTTCCTAGTGCCCCTTACAGGGGAACTGGTAAAGACCTGTTGATTTAGGTTGCCTAACACTTTCCATTTTAAAAAAAGATTCTTTTCTTTGAGAAGCATTAATAGCTCTATTGTTTGCAGCAGGCCTTTGATAGTCAGCAGGGAGAAATCCCTCAGGCCACAGAAGTGCCTTTTTTTTGCCTAGTGAAATTCCATTCAGATTTAGGTGAGTTGTAAAGTGTTAAACGAAAAACAATCCCAATTTTCTTTTTCTTACTGGCATTCCACAGAAAAGTATTGGCAGCCTGCCAAAATCAATCACTATTCTAGACACCCTGGTCCATGCTGCCATCAAAGCAGCTGCAGCAGCCAACACTGTGCTGGGAACATTTGGGAGCTACCAAAGCAACTGCAGGGGGGAGAGCCAAGCTGCCCCCCCCCCAATCAATCCCTCCAATCTCACCCGACTTCAGGGGGCACCATATGCATCACAAGCTCCCCCAACTCCTGGAGGGTGGGGGATGAGAGAGACAAGCTGGGATTCCCACAAAAACCCCTCTTGACCCAGCATAGGGCCCCATCAAATCAAACCTCCTCTGGGGGCACTACATGGGGCAGGTACTCCCGATTTTTTAGGACAGGAGAGAGCGAGCCAAGCTGGACTCCAACCATAATGCATAGACACTGTAGCTCAAGTGGTAGATGTCTGTGCTGCAGTGGTGGAGGTTCAGATGTGTAGATTGGAACTTGGTCAAAAAGTGCGTTATTTTGACAAAAAAATGAAAAACTTTTTTGGCTTTTGTTTAGTTAAATACCTCAAAGATTCCATCTCTGGTAGGCATCTAATTAGAAGTAAAAGATCCTATAACAATTTCTGAAATAATTAGGTGATAAGGGGCAGGTCTGAACTCGGTGGCTAATTCAATTAGGACTGGAATGGGGACAAATTTTTCTCAAAGGAGGGTTCTTTATTGTGGAATTCCTTCCCAGAAAAAGTCTGCCAAAACCCCTCCTTAGCTGCCTTTAGGGTATACATCAAGTTTTCATTTATTTCAGCTGGCCTATTTTTGGCTGTCTGGGCTCCCTCCCCTTGCTTTTATATCTGCTACTCTTGTTTCTCCACTCTTCTTATTGGTCAAGAACTGATCGCTCTGTAGGTTGGGTGATTTGATGGATATTAGGTTTGTTCTAGGTTTTAATGGGTATGACCCTGTCCCAGTTTTTCTGAAACTGTATATCCCTGTACATTTTAGTTGGAGAGCTTATTCTTTTTTAGGTTTAAAAAAAGGTATTTTATTGCATGGCAGTAGCTGTCTCATTACTGGCACCTTTATAAGTGAATTAAAAAACTAAATAATACTGGAGTCACGGCCAACATTTTTTATTTAACAGGTTCTAATAACCATGGCTGCATAGAATTATTTCTGAAAACTACAGTCACCACTTCTAGTGCCCAAATGATTATTTTGAAATACTTTGTAATCTCTCATTATAATGAGTGCTATCTGAAACCAAGGTCAGTTCTCTGAACATCCTTTTCACTATTCTATGAATAGAAACAATTCTTGAATTGTAATCACCTTTAAACAATGAAAAAGGTTTTAAAATTATATTAATTTACAAAACACATCATAGCTTAAAGCCAAAGTAAACTACTTGAAAGACACTTAAAATTACTCTAGCATATATTTGAAATATACTGAACATCACTAACTAAAGGCAAAGACACTTGTTAGAAATATTGTAGACCAGATGCATTATGAAAAATAAACGTTTATCTAATAAAAAATAGCAATGCATAATCTACCAGATCAAACTCTTTGTCTAGTGTACTGGCTCAGAATTTTGCCTCTGAGGGATAGCTTTGTTTCTTTTATATAGACAGACTAGAAGAGCACACAGATTAATGAAATCCAATACCTTCTTGTCAGATGAGTTAGTCATCTAAGTATCGCATATTGAATATATAGCAAAACCTTTCTGGTGTACTATCATTTATTCAGATAAAATAATTTAGTATATTTAACAAATATATACACAATGTTACATACAAAATTTGACAAGTGAAAACAATGCAGACTCTTTGTAAATTTCATATTTAGTTAAAATAATCAACTCTTCCAGGAGTACTAAATAGGTCCCAAGGTAAAATCCAAGAAAATGCATTTTTCTTAAACAGCAACCTGAATTCCCAAGCCCATTGCAATTTCTATTAATTTTTCCTTTGTATTCAATGTCATTGCTTCATCAAGTTCAGAGGGAGAAGCAGAGTTTTCAAATGACTGGTGTAGTTTGAAGTTCAAAATACACTGGCTCCATTATGGAGGTCTCTGATTCTACCATAACCTTTTCTGCAGTAGTTTGTGACCATCTCTGACATCTTGTGGTATGTAGTTCCACTGATGAATGGCTTCTTTTGCAAGAGGCATAGCTGTCTTTTCCAGTACTGTTTTGAACTACTGAAGACTTCTTTGGTGCCATCTTGTTCTCAAGACCCTGATCTAAACCCATGACACCATTATAAACTGCTAAATTCAGCCTCAAGTACCCATCATCATCTTCTTTGTATCTAAGAGAATAAAATTAAAGTAATGAAAATAAAAATTAATGTAGCTTTATATAGATTAGAAAGGCAAAGGCACAAAATGAGCTCAAACTAGCTACAGGAATAAAGGGAAACAAGACGACTTTTTATCAATACATTAGAAGCAAGAGGAAGACCAAAGACAGGGTAGGCCCACTGCTCAGTGAAGAGGGAGAAACAGTAACAGGAAACTTGGAAATGACAGAGATGCTTAATGACCTCTTTGTTTCGGTCTTCACGGAGAAGTCTCAAGGAATGCCTAACAGTGAATGCTAATGGAAAGGGGGTAGGTTTAGCAGATAAAATAAAAAAAGAACAAGTTAAAAATCACTTAGAAAAGTTAAATGCCTGCAAGTCACCAGGG